GGGAGGGGAAGGTGAGAGGGAGGGAAGAGGGGAAAGGGAGGGGGAAGATGAGAGGAGGGAGGGGAGAGGGAGGGGAAGGGAGAGGGAGGGAAGGTGAGAGGGAGGTGAGAGGGAGGGGGGAGGGAGGAAGGTGAGAGGAGGGAGGGAAAGGAGAGGGAAGGAGAGGAGGGAGGAGGAAGATGAGAGGAGGGTGAGAGGGAGGGAAGGTGAGAGAGGGAGGGAAGGTGAGAGGGAGGTGATCCTGCATTACTCTTGTATAAAATAACAACAACAACAACATTAATATATATAATAATAATAATAATAATAATAATAATAATAATAATAATAATAATAATTACAACACCAACACCAACAATAATATTAATAAAAATAACTATTATCATCAATATTGTTACAAGTATTAGAATTATTTTTATTATTATCATTAAGTAATAAACAAACGTCAGTGTTACTTCTCTCAACTTAAATAAAGAGATTCACAATAATTTAGATACGAGTCAATAATCCTGTAAGGTATGTTAATGACCTGCAATTAACCTTTAGTATATTTTCCTCATTAACTTATTAATTTAATCCTTGATAATTTACCCGTAAATCCCTAATAATTTACCCATATAAATCCTTGATGATTAATTACTTTATAACTTAGTAATTTATTCATTAAATCCTTTAGGGATGATTCCTTACACCTGTAGAGAGAGAGAGAGAGAGAGAGAGAGAGAGAGAGAGAGAGAGAGAGAGATAGAGATTTTTAAAACCAACAAATAATCAACAATAATAAGAAAACAGTAATAACTATACGTCTAAAAATTGAACTCACACGTAAATAAAAAATTATTTTTTAATAATCTCACCAAGGAAACGTTTAAAACTCTCATAAAACTCGAGGAAGGACGAGCAGAGACACAAGACTCGAGTAATACTTGACCCCTGTGATGGAGAGTTACACCTCCAAGCCGCCCACATGATTTATGGATGAGTATAAGTGTCAAGGCGTGTGAGGCTCTTGAATACACTATGTGGATGTGTGAGCAGGGTATAGTAGAGGGGGTGGAGAGGGTGGATGTTTGTGTGGGGGTGGATGTGTGTGTGTGTGTGGGGGGAGGGTGGATGTGTGAGCCAGGGTATAGTAGGGGGTGGAGAGAGGGTGGATGTGAGCCAGGGTATAGTAGGGGTGGAGAGAGGGTGGATGTGTGTGTGTGTGTGTGTGGGGGGTGGATGTGTGTGTGCGTGTGGGGGGTGGATGTGTGTGTGTGTGTGTGGGGAGGGTGGATGTGTGTGTGTGTGGGGAGGGTGGATGTGTGTGTGTGTGTGTGGGGAGGGTGGATGTGTGTGTGTGTGTGGGGGGGGAGGGTGGATGTGTGTGTGTGTGGGAGGGGGAGGGTGGATGTGTGGTATGGTAGTGGAGGAGGGTGGATGTGTGTGTGTGTGGGGGGAGGGTGGATGTGTGTGTGTGTGTGGGAGGGTGGATGTGTGTTTGGGGGAGGGTGGATGTGTGTGTGTGTGTGTGGGGAGGGTGGATGTGTGTGTGTGTGTGGGGGAGGGAGGGTGGATGTGTGTGTGTGTGTGGGGAAGGGTGGATGTGTGTGTGTGTGTGGGGGGAGGGTGGATGTGTGTGTGTGTGGGGAGGGTGGATCTGTGTGTGTGTGTGGGGAGGATGGATGTGTATGTGTGTGTGTGGGGGAGGATGGATGTGTATGTGTGTGTGGATATGTGTCGATTTTCTACATAAGGATAACATAAGATTACCTACACACGCAGACAAAAATACGTCACATAACTCTCATTCAGAACACGTATGAAAGACTTGTATATACCAACAGGTGACTTCAGCTGTAAAGACCCTGAGTTGATGTTTAATGTGTTCATGCAGAAGCGTTCCTCAGGTGTGTTTTGGGGGAGGTTATTATTATTCTATAAGGGGAGATAAATTTATTACCAATATGTAAAAGAAGGGTTGGGAAGGATGGAAGAGGAGAACACACACACACACACACCACACACACTCTCTCTCTCTCTCTCTCTCTCTCTCTCTCTCTCTCAATGGTGAACCAAAACACAAACCATCAGGCGCCGGGGGAGCATTCACCGTCCGCCACACATTGCCTGAACCACCTGACGTTTTTGTGGACAGTCGGCAACGCTCGTGTCAATTTCAGGCGAAGATATCTGTCTTGGGTACAAATGGTGATATAGTTCAACCCTACTTCGCCATCCTTGCCTCGCTCGCCCTCCCTGCATCGTTCTCCCTGCCTTGCCCTCCCTGCATCGTTCTCCCTGCCTTCCCCTCCCTGCCTCGCCCTCCTGCCCGCCCTCCCTGCATCGTTCTCCCTGCCTTGCCCTCCTGCATCGTTCTCCCTGCCTTGCCTTCCCTGCATCGTTCTCCTGCCTTGCCCTCCTGCCTCGTTCTCCCTGCCTCGTTCTCCCTGCCTCGTTCTCCCTGCCTTGCCTCCCTGCATCGTTCTCCTGCCTTGCCCTCCTGCCTCGTTCTCCCTGCCTTGCCCTCCCTGCCTCGTTCTCCCTGCCTTGCCTCCCTACCTCGCCCTCCCTGCCTCGCCCTCCTGCATCGTTCTTCCTGCTTTGCCCTCCCTGCATCGTTCTCCCTGCCTTGCCCTCCTGCCTCGTTCTCCTGCCTTGCCCTCCTGCCTCGTCTCCCTGCCTTGCCCTCCTGCCTCGTTCTCCCTGCCTTGCCCTCCTGCCTCGTTCTCCTGCCTTGCCCCCACCTGCCTGCCTCTCTGGCTCACCCTCCTTCTCGCTCTCTCTGGCTCACCCTCCCTGCCTCGCTCTTCCTGGCTCACCCTCCCTGCCTCGCTCTTCCTGGCTCACCCTCCCTTCCTCCTTTCTCTCTGGCTCACCCTCCCTTCCCTCCGCTCTCTCTGGCTCACCCTCCTGCCTCGCTCTTCCTGGCTCACCCTCCCTTCCTCGCCTCTCTGGCTCACCCTCCCTGCCTCGCTCTCTCTGGCTCACCCTCCCTGCCTCGCTCTCTCTGGCTCACCCTCCCTGCCTCGTTCTCCTGGCTCACCCTCCTGCCTCGCTCTCCCTGTTCTGACACGTCTCTGGTCACAACTGGATTGTATGAAGATTTTCCTTTTGTTTTGGCTTCAGTTCAAAATGTTTTTATGGTCCAGGTTACAGATTAAATTACAGTACAACTTAAAGTACAGGTACAGGTTGACGTACAAGTATAGAGTATATTACAAGGGTAGAATAACCTAACAACCTCATCACCACCAACCTGCACCACCGCCTACACCACACACGCCACTACCACGTGCCACATCCATCACCACACACTACCACCACCACACACTCCACACCACCACCACACACCACACCACCACCACCACCACACCACCACAAACACCACCACCGCCACACCATCACCACCACCATCACACACCACCACCATCACCACCGCCACAAACACCACCACCGCCACACTCCACACCACCACCACCACACAACAACCACCACAACACCACCACCGCCACACACCACACTACCACCACCACACAACAACCACCACAAACCCACACCTTCACACACCACCGCCACACACACTACCACACACCATCACCATCTACCCACCTACAGTCATCTCAAAGTGCCCTGATCTCACCTGAGCTCTTCCAACCACTCTTGTTCTTCCTTCCCTCCTGAACGCACAGAGAAGATGACGTGCTCTGCTTTCATGCATGGATTATTGCCTGCATTTCATTCTCTGCTCTGGCAACCTGATGAGAATAGCGAGTGAGAGATGGTGGTGATGGGAGCAGTCCTTCAGTGTGTCTACTGAATTTCCAGGCATTATTTTAACTGACTAAAAGCTAATGGTGGTAGTGTTAAGAGGTACGTCACACACACACACACACACACACACACACACACACACACACACACACACACACACACACAGTACCTCAACATAATTAACGTGAGAATGCATAATTACTCCCGGTTACCTAATTGCTACAAGAGTCATTAATACACCTAGCTAATTAGACCCAGTGAAGAGTTGATCCACCAATTAGCTCCTGGCGTCACAGATCCTCCCGTATTCTCTGTGTGAAGAATTGTAATCACATCTCATTAAACTTGTAAGGACTTATGGCTCATGGTAGGAGAGTAGTCGACATTTTGTGTATTATTTTCTTTATATAATTACACCTGGTGATTAAACACCCTAACGGTACTTAGAGGGGATAGGTTAGGTTAGGTTAGGTTAGGTTAGGTTAGGTTAATTTGGCGTTAGATTAGGTTACGTTAGGTTAGGTTAGGTTAATTTGGCGTTAGGTTAGGTTAGGTTAATTTGGCGTTAGATTAGGTTAGTTGAGATTAGGTTATGTTAAAGTTAGTGTGTGTGTGTGTATGTGTGTTTAGAGCTCGTCATCTGGGTCCCTGAGTCCATCCAGCTGTGAATAGGTACCTGCACTTTGCGTTGAGTAGTTGAAGGTAGTCGGGTGTTGTGTTGCGTTGTGTTGCGTTGCGGTGCGTTGTGTTGTGTTGCGGTGCGTTGTGTTGCGTTGTGTTGTGTTGTGTTGCGTTGTGTTGCGGTGTTGTGTTGCGTTGTGTTATGTTGTGGTTGTGTTGCGGTGCGTTGTGTTGGCATAGTGTTCAATATCTTCTCTACAACATCAGGTTATTGGGAATAATCTTTTATCTCTTTATAGATTCGATATTATTGTAATTGTATTTTCTTTAGGCTCTATTTAACGTATATAGCTGATGTATTATGTAACCTAACCTAACTTAACCCAATCTAACCTAACCTAACTTAACCCAATCTAACCTAACCTAACTTAACCTAACTTAACCCAATCAAACCTAACTTAACTCAATCTAACCTTACCTAACCCAATCTAACCTAACCTAACTTAACCCAATCTAACCTAACTTAACCCAATCTAACCTAACTTAACTCAATCTAACCTAACCTAACTTAACCCAATCTAACCTATCTGATTAACCCTTTATTAACTTAAGTTTGTCTCTTCCAGCCTGCCGTGACCTCTGACCTGGGGCTATGTTCGCCATGTTGAGCCAAGGTCACCTCGCTGCCCTCATCTGTCTGGTGAGTGACCTGACCTGACCTGACTCCTATCCTTAAATTTATGTATTGACCTTTACACACACACACACACACACACACACACACACAGACAGACACACACACACACACACACACACACACACACACACACACACACACACACACACACACACACACACACACACACACACACACGAGTTTTTATGTTTTTTTTATGAAGATATTCCACTTTTTTTTTCAATCTACTGATAAAAAGTAAATACTAACCGAGTCACTGAACTACAGATCATGTCATTCGCTGTTGGTCTCTAATTATGCCCAGGTAACTACACCGGTGGGCCAATACCTGTGAATTTCCTTTACAAAAATATTAACAGATGCATTTTCATATAGTTGATATTTATAAAAGTAGATTCAGTGGTCAGGTCACTTTATTCCTCTTTCGTTCCGTAACTAATCAACACAAATCACTTAATATTTAAATAGAGTTAAAAAAAAATCTAAAAAAATTTAACCAAACAGGAACAAAAACGGGAAAATGTTCAAAGTTTTTTGCCATCAACCACAACACACTGGGCAGGTCCACTTAACCAACCTCACCTCACCTACACCTCCCCTCACTTACACCTCCCCTCACCTACACCTCCCCTCACCTACACCTGCCTCACCTCACTTACACCTGTCCACACCTCACTAACACCTGCCTCACCTCACCTGCACCTGCCTCACCTTACCTACACCTGCCTCACCTGCACCTGCACCTCACCTCACCTCACTTCACCTGCACCTCACCTACACCTCACCTGCACCTCACCTACACCTGCCTCGCTCTAATTATGTGTCAGACCTCATCCCCAGGGTGAACACAAACCTAAAAGCCAATTAAACCGTTGGATTAGCCCACCTGGGTTAACCAAAAACAAGATTGGGGCGTGTCATGATTGGACGCTGTTGGGTACGTGGATTAGGAAGACTGGAGAAAGTGTTATGATTTGGCATGTTAAGGGTTGGTTAAAAAGATTGGATGGAGAACTAGGATTGGATGTAATGGTGATTCAGAGAGGGATTGGATGGAGAACTAGGATTGGATGTAATGGTGATTCAGAGAGGGATTGGATGGAAAACTAGGATTGGATGTAATGGTGATTCAGAGAGGGATTGGATGGAGAGGTAGGATTGGATGTAGTTGAGTGACTCACAGAGATTGGGGGAAGTTAGATTAGGTTGATTGGATCAGTTAGAAAGATTAGATGCACCAACATTCAGTCTGAGAGTCAATCCAGATTCGATTGATGGTATTAAGATTCGGTGATTGGACGAGTAATAAAAAAAGATTAGATAAATTGCGATTCGATTTGGAGACAGAGTAAAATAGAGACGTATGCCTATTAAACTTCAACGATTAGACCACTTACAACAGATTGGTTACGTCTGGATTCGATGATTCGGGGTCACTAAAAGATTGGTTACGTCTGGATTCGATGATTGTGCGGTGGTACTGAGCCTCCATATAGCTCTCACGCATGTCTTGGGAGAGAGAGAGAGAGAGAGAGAGAGAGAGAGAGAGAGAGAGAGAGAGAGAGAGAGAGAGAGAGAGAGAGAGAGAGAGAGAGAGAGAGAGAGAGAGAGAGAGAGAGAGAGAGAGAGACAGAGAGAGAGAGAGAGAGAGAGACGTTAGGTAAAATCTACGGTGTTTGACTTCACGTTTCACTTAGTCGACAATAATAATAATAACTACAACAACAACAACTACATCAACAACAACAACTACAACAACAACAACAACTACAACAACAACTATAACAACAAGGCATAAATATAAAGTTACAAAAACAGGAGATAAATGAAAATACCAAAAACAATAATACACACACATACATCAGCTGTGACTGGACGGATATACACACAGTACCAGTACAGTATAATGAGAGTATGATTATCTTGGAGTATACTTTTGTAATGAGGTGTGTATACATAATGGTATACACACACATACATACATACATACATACATACATGCATACATACATACATACATACATACATACATACATACATACATACATACATACATACATACATACATACATACATACATACATGCATACATACATAAGGGCCAATGTTTGTTACTGTGCATACATAGTCTCTCTCTCTCTCGTTTTACTTGCTCTTATCAGGTAAAGTGATTTGACATTTTCTCCATGGGGGCTCTTTGGCTAACTCACCATTACGTGTCGCGAAGAGTTCTAAAGACGGGCGGGCGGACGGGCGGGCGGAAGGGCGGGCGGAAGGGCGGAATAAAGGAGTGAGAAGACAATTTTACCGGAACATATAGGACAGAGGTACATAGATTGAAGACTCACACACACACACACACACACACACACACACACACACACACATACACATACACACACACACACACACACACACACACACACACACACACACACACACACACACACACACATCATTGTGAAAAAAAAATGACCCTTGACCCGTAAGTAACTTGTATATTCATTCCATGTTTCATCTCTCTCTTGTACTGGCGGCTTTAGTTACACGACCCACTGCTCCGTGTTCCTGTGAGTTACCTGTAGTATGTTCCGTGGGTGTTCAGTGGATAGTTTTATCTTTGAGTGTTGGATTTTTTTAATAACCAGTTTGTTGTTATTTTTGTTGTTATTGTTATTATTTTTCTTGTTATTATTGTAGTACATACATACATACATACATACATACATACATACATACATACATACATACATACATTTAGAGAAACAAAAGCCTAAAATACAGGAAAAGAATAAAGACATTTACTGATCCAAGAGTCACCTAATTTGCATATGACCTACAGCTCTTCTGAAGACTTACAAGAGCGGTAATAAATCGCCGGGAATAGCTCCGCCAACTCTTAGTAATACAAGTATTTATATTCAGCGTAACTTTCCATTTTCACTTTGAGCGATTCCTATTTTTGAGAGATTTATTTAAGAAAACTTCAGAGTTGGCAGTACATTACTTTATATATAGATCTTGCAATTTATAGTGAAAGAAATTATTTTGTGTATATTGTTGTTGTTTAAGAATTGTCAGGGGCGGATCCAGGAATATCAAAATGGGGGCTCGAAAAAGTTGTTGGTGGGGGAAGACAGCGAGCCCACCCAGCTGAGTTTTTTGAAGCCATGTAACACTTGATACGAGGAGATGTGCTGAGGTCAATAGTACTTACTTTTTACTATACAAAAACGCCTGAGTGCAAGACTGAATAAAAAAAAAGTATTGGAATTTTCTGATGAAAAGGGGGAGTCTGGATTCCACAAGACCACCGCCTGGATCCGCCCCTGATTATTGTATTGTTGAAATAGGTTATGAGCATAAAGACCTTTGTTGTTGAAGCGTAGTAATAGCAATGTTACGCTCAAGAGGGAAACCTGTTATTTTGTAATGTTTGGGATGAGTTTGTAATATACAGTAATGTAAGAGTTTGTTTTATATCAGTTAGAATGTGTTTAAGGTCTTTAAATACTCAAGCGATAAACACAGCCAAACACCAGTAATAAAACAAAGTATAAATCGTAATTCACTTTGAAAACAAGAAAGTCTATCGTTGAAGTTTAATTGTTTACCATCAAGGAGGTTAAAAAAAAAATCTTGTGTTTCCATTTATTAAAAAGAACATACTGTGTAAGCTGACGTAATAATGTGTGCTTGGAGAATATAGTTGTTGAAACACACAAATACATTATAACAACATCCAGTCTTGTGTATCTCTTTGAATTCTTGATACTTGTTGTCTAGTGGCCCCCCCAAAAAAAAAAACGGAATTAGTTTACGTATTGAAAGACTAACGCAGCTTTGGACGCAACTGGAATTTATCTTCAAACAACACTAAGAATTTTTTCATGTAAGGCGTTTGGGTTATTGGCTTCGGTGTGTGTGTGTGTGTGTGTGTGTGCGTGCATATATTTGTTATTTTCACCGTGAATTTGTTGTCTCTGTCAGGCGATACTAATTGCTTTTGTTTATTTTTTTTACCTGCTGTTGTCATGTCTTTGTTATGTTATTTTTTAAGATTATTGTCATTGTTGTTGTCATGATTTTGTTATGTTCTCGCTCTTGTTATCATTGTTGCCATTGTTATCTTCTTTGCTCTTGTTATATTGATGGTGTTCTTGTTCTTTATGTTATCACTGTTATTACCACCATTGTCTATAACATTTACTCCCTCTCACCGTCCACCAACACCACCACCTACACCATAAACCCGATATAAAACCCACTAACCCCTTCACAATGACGCCATACTCTCTCCTGTTGAACGATTCCTCATATCACTTTGGAATATTTACCTCTTGTGCACAGAGGACAAAGTGGCATTGGACAACAAGCCATAGAGCGAACACCCGATATAGTTTGCATCGGCCCTGGTATAGGCTATTTTCTTTCTTCGTAACGTGGTGTTGTGTAATGGATGTGAAAGGTAATTCAATGCTTCGTTTCCTTTTATAGGTTCTGTGTATGGATTTGTAATGTAGGTTTTTTTCTTCCCATTTTTAGGTTTAGGTTTAGTGAGTTTAACTTTTTTTTTTTTTGCTTGTAAGGTAAAAATTTTGGTTAGTGTTATAATTTTTAGTCCTTTGAGGGTAAGTTAAGCTTATTATACTATAACGTCCTTGAGTTAAATTAAACTTCGTGTATTTATTTTTTTCCCTATAAGGTTAACTTAAGTTACTAGAACCTTTTCTCCTGGGGTTAAATTAAGCTTAATATTACAATTAATTTCCCCCGAGGTTAAATTAAGCTTAATATACAACAATTGGTGTCATGAAGTTAACTCAAAAAAACTTCACACACAAATACTTCACATCCATTTCGGTTGAAATAATATAAATTTACTTAAAGCTAAAATAAGCTTAGGCAACAGAAGCTTTTATATTAATGAACGATAAAATAAGCTGCTTACTTCACTCAAAATAGTCATGTCCAAAACGACTTCAATTTACGTTCCTTTAAGC